ACGAAAACATTAGTTTTTAAAATCAATTGCGGTTAGTTCGAGTAAGTTTAGTTTGGAATCAGATAATTTGGTTTAAAAAAAAAATTCCAATCAAATAACTTATAATACAGTTCATATTCCAAAATTTTGGTCCGGGTTTCGAAAATTTTGCTTGATTCAATTTTTTCTTCCATATATACCAACTATATTTAAGATTTACATAGATACAAAACTATATTATGTGAAAATATAAAATAGTACATAATCAATTCACATGAGAAACTTACAGTTTTTGAGGGTTATATAGTCTTTGCACATAGTCAATGTGTTACTTACATAATTATTGTATTATCGTTTCTATATTCTTAATTTATTTATCAGATTTAGTCATCTAACAAATTAATCCAATAAAGATAGAGAAAGAGAGAAGATAAAAAAAAATTGTGTCTCTTTACCGTGGAATTTTTGTCAATAATACATAAAATATACAAAATATTCTAGCCATACAAAATTGTTGCTATCCACCTAATTCATAAATTTTTCATTGTTATTCTTGCTATTTAAAACACATCAAAGAAGAAAAAAACGAAATCATTTCTCTTCTTCTTCTTTCTCTCTTAATATTTAAACTTTTTATCAACAATTTTTCTCTTCTTAAGGACTTGACGTTCTGTTGTTTCCCTCATCAATTCTTGAGAATATATCAATGTTCTGTATGAAATGGTATAATCAAGGTTCATACCAAATTATATTCATTGAATCTTTAATATGTTTCGGTGTAATTCCCTCAATTACTCATACGCTCTCATAAATAGCCTAACAATATTTTTCAAAGTTGAATGTCAACGGTGAGCTATTCGGTCCGCCACTGAACATGTATGAACTTTCAAATAATTTGTCACCTAAAACGTGTTTGTTTTATTCTTCACACCCGCTCTAAGCTTTTACCACATCCTTTCACACAAAACTTATACACAAACCGAATTTTCATAGATTTATATACTTTGAATGTGAATTTTAACATTACCGCAATCAATCACGATTTTGATACCATCTCATCCTTCCAAGCAAAACTCTGTTTGGCATAGATATTTCCAGACCATATCCTATTTGATCTTTCTCCTTGACCAACACAACACGCTTTCACACTCGACATCGAACACATATCAACTCCATCCTCATCCTCATCTTTCACTTTCCCATACTGACTGTAATCTTCATCGGCAGAGTAAACTATGAGGTCATCATCAATAACTCCATTACCATCATTTCCATTTTGCATCATAATCCAAATTACTAATAAAATCACCATCGTCAGACCTATCCGC